TGGGTGGATGAGTGAATGAATAGGTGGATGGGTAGATGAATGTGTGAATGAATGGATAAATGGATGGGTGAATGAATTGGTAGTTGGGTGGATGGATGCAAGGTGGCTGGATGGATGGATGGGTGGATGGATGGATGAGTGGGTGAAGGGATGGGTGGGTGAATAGATAGGTGGGTGGGCGAATTAATGGATGAGTCAACGGATGGATGGATGGATAGGTGGATGGGTGGATGGGTGGGTAGGTGCATGGTGGATGGATGGGTGGATGAATGTATGTATGAATGAATGAATAGTTGGATGGGTGAATGGATGGATGGGTGGGTGGATGGGCAGGTAAGTGAACTGATAGACGGATGCATGGATGGATGGGTGGATAGGTGGATGGGTGGATGGGTGGATGGATGGGTGGATGGATGGATGGGTGGGTGGATGGATGGATGGGTGGATGGATGGACGGATGGATGGACGGATGGGTGGATGGATGGATGGGTGGGTGGATGGGTGTATGAGTGAATCGGTGGATGGATGGGTGGGTGGATGAAGGGATGAGTTGAGAGGTGAACTGGTGGGTGGGTGAATGGGTAGATAAGTGAATTGGTGGACAGAAGGATAGAGGGATGGAGGAACAGAGGGATGGGTGAATGGAGGGATGGGTGGACGAAGGGCTGGGTGGGTGAGCGGATGAGTGAGGAGATACATGAATCGGTAGATGGAGGGTTGAATGGATGGGTGGAGAGATGGAGGGATGGGTGGATGAATTGATAAGTGAATTGGCAGATGGAGGGATGGGTGGATAGGTGGGTTAATGGGTAGACGAGTGAATTGATGGATGGAGGGATGGAGGGATGGGTGGATGGGTGAGTGGGTAGATGGATGAGAGGTGACACCAATTCCATCTCTGAGCCCCAGGAGCTAAGCTGCCAGGGAGAATGCTGAGGATTGGGGATTCCCGGGGAGAGCAGATGGGGAGGCAGAAGAGCAGCCATCACAGGACATCCTGCAAGTTCTCATGACCTGGACTCCCCACAAGCCTTGCTCTTGCAAGGACAGCACAGGTCTTGCCATTTGAAGGGTCCCCTGCACCTTCTGCTGACCTTGAAACAGGCCCTCAGCAAGCTGGATCTGGCTGCCAGATGTCAGCCTGCTCTAATGAGCCCAGTCTCCTGGTCACTAATTGAGGCTCTGGGCCAGTGACAGATGGAACCAGGGACAACGTGACAGACAGGGAGGCCTTCGCACAGGGCTTGGGTGACCCAGGCTCTCAGAGCCAGGCTGGTGGGGATCAGGGAGTGCCTTGCAGATCCAGAGTCACCCATTCCCACATCTACATGCCTGGCAGCCCCACAAGGGCACCTGTGTCTGTCCACCTCCTGTGTGGCCTCCAGGCCCCTTCACTGGGATGGGAGGTTGGGGGGGAGGGGCCAGTGGGAACCAGAGGGGGCCACTGCCGGGTGTGATCACTAGAGCAAAGAGTAAAAGAAATGAGAGTGAGCCTTCCTGTGTAGGACGGAAGTGATGGCCTTCCAGAACCGCGGTCAGGTGAGCCCTGCCCTGGAGGGAATGCAGTTACAGCCAGATTGCCCATAAACTTGTTCAAGCGATTTATGAGGCTTGGCCAGCACTGGGCGGGGTCGGGCGCTGGTGCGGACGGACAGCAGCTCTTAATTGCAGCAGGAGAGGAGAACGTCCTTGTACTAATAGCAAACACAACCTCCGCCCAAGTACTCCCAGAAACTCCGAACCAGGCTCAGCTACCCAGTGTTTCTGTCCATTGAATGTCGCATCCCCCAAAGTGACAAGAACACCTGAGAGTCTCACCTGTGTGGAGATATGTGAGCCTCCCAGGTGGTTCAGACTCAGGAAGGAGAGTCAGGACAATTCTGAGATGGAGGTGCCCAGTGTCCCACACCAGGGCTGGGGGAGGCTGAGGTCCCAGCTCTTGAGAACATGGGAGCGGGGTGGACTTTCTGCCCCGGGGGAAGTCAGACCAGCACAACATCATGTAGGCCGTAGCTCATAAACCACTCGGTTTTCTCAATGACCATGTGATGCACCCCAGGGAAAGTCCACGCCTTCTTGATGAGGGCATCTCCAGGGTCCTTCCTGCTGCTTCCTGCTCTGACTACCATTGGGACAGAAGCGTCTGCCAGTCAGCGCTGGGCTCTGAGTAAGGCCTTGGCCTCAAGGCTCCCACAGCATTCCCAGAATTGGTGGTCAGGGAGCTGCTTCTCGCCAGCGTCCAGGAGTCCCAGATGGTGCCTGGGAAGCCCACTCCTGTCTGTAGTCTTCTTCTCCTAAGAGCACAGTGGTGGCTTCTTCCCAGGGCCCATTCTGAAGTCACATGACGGCTGAGGCCACTACTCTCTCGGGTTGCCAAGACAGGCAGCACCCCCCACCCAGGCCAGGGCCCTCTACCTCCCATCCCTGCAGAGGGGCCTTGAGGCCATGGTGGGAGATGGGCAGACGTTGGTGCCCTCAGGAAGCTGCCAGACATGTAGACATGGGAGGAGGTGACCAGGATCTGGGGGTTCAGAGCAGGGGAAGGGCAGCCCTCCTCCCAGGCTCAGTACGCAGAGCAAGAGCACCTAGCAAGGAAGACTGGGAGATGCCCACCAGCTCCCGCCACTGCCCCAGTGGTCAGCCTTCCCAGTGCATCCTCAGAGGTGGGAGTTCATTTTCTCAAAAGCAGGGCCAACCAAGGGCATGGAGGGATGGGTGCAGGAGTTCCAACTGGCAACAGGTGGAAATGCCCAGGCCTCACCAGGAGGCTGAGAACACAGCCAGGCCTGGGGAGGCTGGGACCGAGGCTCACATGTTCGTGTGTGTTCTTGCACGATGTGAGTGTAGATAAGAGGCTGCAGGCTCAGGGGATGTTTCTGGGTGTTACAGAAACAGGGTGCTTAGGCTTCAGAAGCCCCAAGCCCCCACGCCGGATGCGTCAGGTCAATCTCTGCCACTGCAGCCTTCCCCTCTGTCCCCCTGTCTGGGGCCACAGTGCCATGCTGTGCCTGACCCTGGAGCCCTCTCCACCCTGGTCTCACTACGTGAGCTCCTGCTGTGGCCATGTCTATGGCAAAAATCGAGAAATCTGCAGGGCACCTTCTTCCCTGGTCAGCCCAGAATGCTGGCAACAGAAAAACTTTGAGCCCAGCCCAGCAGCTGAGGACATGGGCCTTCTGTGATGAAATCAGGTGAAACCCCGGGACACACACTCTGACCCCTCCCCACTCAATGGCCTTCCATGGACATACACTCTTCAAAACACCAGACCTGAAACCCTTCACGGCCTCCGCCGTGGAAGTTGACCATGGGCCTAGGGAGATCACACAGCTGGCTCCATCATCCCAGCCACAGGGTCCCTCTGAGGCCAAAGCTACCTTACTGCACGTGGAGCAGGGAGGGCTCAACCTAGGGGTGTGAGCATGCTGTCCCCTAGGAGCCCCACTGCCCTCGAGGTCAACACGGTGCCTGTCTGGAGCTACATCTATCAGCACAGACCAGGCATGCAGAGCCAGGAGAGGACCACAGAGATCCCGCCCAGCACTCCGAGGGACTGGTCACGTGAGCTGTCACCCAGGCCATGCTGGCCAGCTACACTGGGTCCCGACCCAGGCCCCGTGAAGGAGGCCGGAATGGGCTTGTGCAGCTGCTCCCGCCATCCAGGACTGCCACCCGCCAGCCATCCTGGGCTCAGTATCGCAGGTGAGCTGTGACACCTTCTCTGCAGAGGAGTCACCTCTGTCATGGGCACAGTAGCTGAGAGGGCCAGAAAGGCGTCAGGAACAACCCCGCCCTGCAGCCTGGGACCCACCAGAAGATGGACTGCTGGTGGGGGTCACCCTCCCTCCCACACGCCTGAAGGGAGCCGGGTCAGGATGGCACCAGCGTACTCTTCTCGCCCCCAACTCTGTGGCCAGGCCCTGGGTGTCCACCCGATGATCTTCAGCAGGACCCAGAGAGTGACCTCGACGGAGCAGTGGCCTCTGCAGGAGCCTCCTGCTCCAGGACCTGGGTCAGCAAATCCAGAGGAGACCCGGCCCCCACACCCCAGGCCATGCCCGCAGACCGCCCCTCCACCCACACCTCCCGGCATGGTTTCTCGATTCTGGTTTCCTTCTAGGGTTGTTCTTTTCTTTTTAAGGAAAAACCTCCAACAGTTGTCACATTTTTATTATCTCTCACCTGTATGCCCAGAGAGCCACATGTTGCCAACCCACATCTACACCACACATCAACAGCTCAAATCTACACCACACACTTATACCACACATCTATATTGCACATCTATAAGCATCTATGTCACACATGTGTCACACATGTCTATACCACAGGTCTTCTGGTGGGTCAGAGGATCAGCGGGACATGCAGAGGAATCCACCAGCAGGAGTGGACATGACCCCAGGAGGCCACCCTCTGGGAGAACTTTCCGAATGGGGCACAGAGTAGACTGGAGGGTGGTTTGGGTCACAAAAAGCGAGGGAGAACTTCCACCTAGACCCATGTCCTCCAGGCCATCCTCACCCTTTAGGAGGAGACACGGACCTGGCTCCCAGGCACCACCCCCTCTCACTGTCTCCCCAAGCTGATGACCAAGCAGATCCCCCTAGTGTGGGTCTGGGTGCCTGCCGTGTGCTGTGAGGGTCCCCCTGGGGCAAGTCTGGGTGCCCACCATGTGTTGCAGTCCCCCTGGGATGGGTCCTCACAGGGGGGTTCCTCCGGGGGCATCTCACCCTGCAGGGGACATGGAGCCCCGCCCCCATGGGTCTGATGCCAGGAACAATTGTTGCCTAGGCTAGATTGTGACCTAAGATCTGGTCCCTGAAGAGGCCTCTGCGGGCCCCGCCCTGGGAGGAGAGCGCAACTGAGGATGGAGGACTCTGGGGCATCGTGCTAGCCCCACCTCCAAGCCCTGAGAACCGGGGGGTCCTCTGTTGCGTGGCAAAGTAGCCGGAGAGAGTTGGTGTTTATTTTGGTGAAGCTCAGAAGAGAATGCCCTAGACATGCTCAATCCACACGCGTTGGATTCTCCGGCTGTGATTTTCGACAACGGCTCAGGGCTCTGCAAGGCGGGCCTGTCCGGGGAGATCGGGCCCCGACACATCATCAGCTCCGTCGTGGGGCACCCCAAGTTCAAGATGCCCTCGGCGGGCACCAACCAAAAAAAATACTTCGTGGGGGAGGAGGCTCTGTACAAGTACGAGGTCTTGCAGCTGTGTCATCCTATCGAGCGGGGCCTGATCACGCAATGGGATGACATGGAGAGGCTCTGGAAGCATCTCTTTGAGTGGGAGTTGGGTGTGAAGCCCAGTGACCAGCCGGTGCTCATGACAGAGCCTGCCCTGAACCCCAGAGAGAGCCGTGAGAGGATGGCAGAGGTCATGTTTGAGAGCTTCAACGTGCCAGCCTTCTACCTGTCAGACCAGGCAGTGCTGGCCCTCTATGCCTCAGCCTGTGTCACAGGCCTGGTGGTGGACAGTGGAGACGGGGTCACCTGCACCGTCCCCATCTTCGAGGGCTACTCCCTGCCCCATGCAGTGGCCAAGCTCTACGTGGCTGGCAGGGACGTCACGGAGCTCCTCACCCAGCTGATCCTGGCCAGCGGGCGCACCTTCCCGTGCCTGCCGGACAAGGCCCTGGTGGATGACATCAAGGAGAGGCTGTGCTACGTGGCCCTGGATCCGGAGAAGGAACTGTCACGGAGGCCGGAGGAGGTGCTGAGAGAGTACAAACTGCCTGACGGGCAGATCATCAGCATCGGGGACCCGCTGCACCAGGCGCCTGAGGCCCTGTTCATGCCTGAGCAACTGGGCATCCAGGACCCCGGGCTCGCCAAGATGGTCTGGAACAGCATCACCAAGTGCGATGCTGACATCCAGAAAGTGCTGTTCGGGGAGATTGTGCTGTCTGGGGGCACCACACTGTTCTACGGCCTAGACGACCGTCTCCTCCGGGAGCTGGAGCAGCTGGCCTCCAAGGGCACCCCCCTCAAGATCACAGCGCCCCCTGACCGCTGGTTTTCCACGTGGATCGGGGCCTCCATCGTCACCTCCCTGAGCAGCTTCAAGCAGATGTGGGTCACCACCGCCGACTTCAAGGAGTTTGGGACGGCCGTGGTCCAGAGAAGATGCTTCTGAGGGGTCATGCACGGGGCAGGGAGCCTGCTGGCCCTGGGCTTGTGGAGGAGGGTCAGTAAAGAGGGCCATGTTAGTCCTGTTGAGCTCGGCTTGTCCTTGGCGGCTGCAGGGTAATTTCTGCCCCTGGTGGGGAACTTTTAAGAGGCTCTGTCCACATCCTCTCCCCTACTGTCTCCTGAGAAAGTCCTGGCCTCTGAGTCCAGGCTGTACCTGAGATTTCCTACTGAACTCAGAACAGCCCCAGGCCTCAGGGTGGTAGGCCCTGGAGTCTGCCTTTTTTTTTTTTTTTTTTTTGAGTCGTGGTCTCACTCTGTCCAGGCTAGGGTACAGTGGCATAATCATGACAATCATGGCTCACAGCAGCCTCGACCTCCTGGGCTCAGGCAATCCATCCATCTCAGCATCCCGAGAAGCTGGGACAACAGGGACATGTCACCATGCCCGGTTCATTTATTATTATTATTATTAGTAGTAGTAGTAGTAGTAGTAGAGACAAGACTTCACTATGTTTCCCAGACTGGTGTCAAACTCTTAGGCTCAAGCAATCCTCCTGTCTTGGCCTCTCAAAATGCTGGAATTGCAAGCATGAGCCACTGTGCCTGGCAGAGGGTTCTGGGTGAGTCTGACAGTCAGTAGGGAGGGTGGGGATGAGTGGGTGGCACCTTATTCTGAGGGCTCAGCAAACCCTCATGGGGTGGGTCTTACCTAGCACAGTAGGGCTGTCCCTCTACTTGTCTTCGTGAAACAGGGTGGGGTTGTTATCCATGGTAGATGCGGACAGCAGGAGCAGACGTTACCTTGTGCTTAGGGCTCTCTAGGCTAACAACTGTGATTCTTCTGTCTTTCCTTTCAAGGGTGTTCATTGCCTCATTGTTTGGGGGAAAATGCTGGAAACAGTTAATGGCCATCAAAGAAATAACGGCTGAGTAGATTATGCAGAAAGGGAAAGTCCCACATTGACTGGGTGGAATTCTCCCGAAACAGTATTGGGGCAGAAATGGAAAATCCAGAGAAGTCTTTAAAATGATCCCACTCTCCCTTTTTTGGTAAAGAAAACAATGCCACTTTCTTGTCTGTGTAAGTCCAGGCACGTTTGTATGTACATGCAGACATGAACGCTTGTTCTGGGTGGTAGTAAGCATAGGGAGGAAAGAAAGAAGGGTCCACACCATGGGTTGTAGCAGGCTTGTGGGAGAAGGAGGGAACAGGAGGTGGTGCATGAGGGAGGAGGAAGGAGAGGCAAGAAGGAAAAAGAAAGAACGGAGTCTACTCAAGACATTCAGCCTGGATGAAGGCAGCCCATCACACTGAAGCTGCATGTGCTTGTATGCCTTTGTGATGACAAGATTGGTTTTTTCTGTCTTGTCACTTCCAACTTATGTGGAAGTAGACATGTGGGTGGTGAAGAAGCATAGAACTGTGTCTTTGCTTCATCCACTTCATCTCTTTTCTGTATTTAAGCTATTTACACTCAAGGTTACTGACGCGTCACATCTTACAGCTGCCATTTTATTACTCTCTGCTTGTTTCTTCCATTTCTCATTCCTGGTTCTCTTTTCCTACCTTCCTGTGAGTTACTTGGCTACTTTTCAGGATCCTGTTCTGATGTATGTATGTGTCTCTGAATGTACTGCTTGGCGTGGGCTCCCTAGGGGTGCCACTGTATGCATGCGTGTGTTTATGACGTGCCACGATCTACAGGTATGGATGGTTGGCCACTCGGTGATGTGTAGGACCCTTCATGCTCCTTACTTCTAGAGCAGCCATCTTGTCCCCTCTGTGCCTGAAGGGCATCACCAGGCGGTGTTGGAACTACTGCTCCAACAATCAAATATGACTGAAGACACACATGGGAGAATAGTCTACTGTGGCCACAGCCATTTTTACCCAATCCGGTGTTCTTTTGACCCTTCTGAAAGTTTCAGCCTCTCCTGCTGTGCCTCCCTTTGTGTCTAGAGAGCTTCCTTCAGTCATGCTTCAGGGACAGGATTAATAGCACAAAATCTCTCAGTCCACCTTCCTACGAGAATGTCTTGATTTCTCTTTCCTTACTGAAGGATATGTTTTCTGGGTATGATATTTGCAGCTGACAGCTTGTTTTCAGTACTTAAGAAGTGTTGAGAGATATCTGCTGGCTTTCTGTGGGTCATGTGTCATCTCTCTCTGACCGCTGTCAAGAGTTCTTCATTGTCTTTGGGTTTCAGGTGTTGCATTATACTGTGTCCTGGTGTGGGTTTCTTTGGATTTGTCCCATCACCTTCTTCCATCTCCTTCATATGAGGTGGGGCTGGAGGTTCAGCTCCCTGTGGGGACTTGCTGACAACAGGGGCAGGCTGAAGCAGTGCCGACTAGACCCAGCTTCCACCACCTCACTTAGTCTGCTGTTGCTGAGTGGAGGTGGGGTGGGATGAGATCGGGTGAGGAAAAGGTGGTGTGGGCATGGGGTAGGGATGGTAGCGTGGG